TTTATTTATAAGGAAAAATTCAGTGAATAATTACAAGAAAATTATTTTTAAACTTTTCGCGAGACATTACCAATTTCAATTTATTTTTCGCGACTTTATTTTTTTTTCAAGATATTTCTAACCTCAATTTATTTTTTTGCAAGATATTACCAAGTTCAATTACTTTATTTTTCAACACTATTACTAAATTTAATTATTCAGTCTCATGCATAATACTTTTTAAAAAAATTTTTTGCGACAAATTACCAAATTCATATTAATATTAATATTAATGATAATAATAATATTCATGAAAAAATTTTTTTGCGACAACTTACTAAATTCAAAATTACAATTAAATATGATCGACAAAAACTTTACTATATCGAGCAGAATTTATATATCGTACGATTTTTACTATATAGTAGGTTCACTATATCGAGGCCGGCTGTAGCAATAGGGTAAGCCTACCAGAAAATGTCCTTCATTGTAACAATTACGTTTCTTCTTACATCGAGCACATTGACATCTTGCATCAAGCACGTTTATTCCTTACATCAAGTATGTTTACTCCTTGCAATGAGTACGGTTTTTTAGCACAATCCCAATATTTATAAAATTTTTTCCATTCACAGTCAAACCTTATCACAGCGGATAAACGGGACATATATTTAAAAATCCGTTGTGGCAAGATTATTACAATAACAACGAATTTTGTATGTTTAGTAATAACAAAAAATTTTAAAAATCCGTTATGACTATGACAAGTACAAGTACAAGAGTTTAATTACAAGTCCGAGGTTTGCTGCGACAAGATTTGACTGTACGTAAAAATTCATTTTCCATTACTATTATCATCATAAATACAAGCATGTAAGTTTCTATTCAAATAAGCTTTATTCGAATTGTTCGTTTTATTCGTTGTGAATTTGAGTATTCGAAGAACATAAATAAAATAGATATGCACATTGCTAATCCAAATATAAAAATTTTTATCAATCTATTTTTCCTTAATACTTGTACACAATGATGATAATAATAGTAGCTGGAACTATTCTTTTCTTTTCTTAAGTCATAGTACTAGCAACCATAGTAATAATGGTAATGTAGATTATAAATATAATTATTGTGACTTATATATTATCTTGTTAAAGAAATAAGAGCTATATTTATAAAAAACGAATAAATTCGAATAAACTTTTTTAATAATAATAATAAGAATAATAAATAATTTGAATTAATATTACTAATCTTAATTGATTGATTGCATGGAGGTATTACGAATAATTCGGAAAAAGAATTTGTATTACGAATAAAAACCCTCAAAAATGCAAGATTTATCATCATAAATACAAAAATTATATATATATGTATACATAAAAAGTTTTTTTTTTTGTAAAAAAACAATAAAATATAAAAACATGACAAAATCTTTTACAGTTGAAGAAGTTGCTCAACATAATAATGAAAGTTCAATTTGGATTATAGTCCACGATAAAGTTTTTGATGTTACAAACTTTCTTAATGAACATCCAGGTGGTCAAAAGGTTTTAATGAAGGTGGCTGGTACAGATGCCACGAAACAATTTGATAATTTCCATACCTTGGCCACGCTAGAAAAATATTCTCCCCAATTACTTATTGGCGAAATCGGTTCTGGACAAACTGAAGAAGCAGCTCATGAACCATCGTCAGGTGAAGGGCCCTTTGGTGATCTTGTACCCTTTGGTGATCCATATTGGTATCAAGATTTCTATAGTCCGTATTATAATGATACTCATCGTCGTGTACGAGCTGCTGTAAGAAAATTTGTTGAAACTGAAATTATGCCCTATACATATGAATGGGATGAAGCCAAACACATCCCTAGAGAAGTGTTTTTAAGAGCTGGCCAGTTGGGTATTTTGCCTGCTTTTGTAGGAGCTCCATGGCCAAAAGAGTATGTATTATTTATAAATATATGATGAATTATTTGATCAAATTAATTTTATATGTGATTTTTATAAATAATAATAATAATACCACAACATTATTAGATACACTGACATTGTACCTGTCGCAGGAATTAAACCTGAAGAATTTGATCATTTTACAGAATTTGTTGTTTGTGACGAACTGTCTCGTTGTGGATCAGGTGGTGTATCATGGGGTCTAACTGGTGGTAAGTTTTTGTTTCATTAATTGTTATAGCGGTGGAATTAAAAATAAACTGTAACAAATTTTAACTAATTCACTCACATATATATACACACACACACATACACACTCATTATACATACACATTTACATGATTAATTAATTAATTATATAATAAATAAGGTTTAACTATTGGACTTCCGCCAATCTTAAAATTCGGAACCGTTGAACTTAGTAAAAGGGTTGCCCCAGCATGTCTTAGTGGAGAAAAAGTAATTTGTCTTGCTATTACAGAGCCATATGCAGGATCGGATGTTGCAAATCTTAAAACCGAGGCAAAATTAACTGATGATGGGGAATATTATATAGTAAATGGTGAAAAAAAATGGATAACCAACGGTGTATATGCTGATTATTTCACTACAGCAGTTCGTACTGGTGGGCCTGGTATGGGTGGTGTTTCTCTACTTTTAATTGAAAGAACTATGCCAGGTGTTAAAACACGTCAAATGCAATGTTCTGGTGTATGGTCATCAGGTACAGCTTACATCACATTTGAAGATGTAAAGGTTCCAAAAAGTAACCTCATTGGTAAAGAAAATCGTGGGTTCAAGGTATATAAATATTAACATTATTTTTGATGGTTTTTTACATTTATATATTTTAATTTATATATCCATTAATTTAATTTAATTATTTTATTTAGTGTATTATGCACAATTTTAATCATGAACGTATTGGAATTGCTATGCAAGCTACAAGGTTTGCACGTGTATGTTATGAAGAAGCAATGAAATATGCACATAAACGTAAAACCTTTGGACAAAAGCTTGTTGATCATGCAGTAATTCGTAATAAGCTTGCACATATGGCAAGACAAATTGAAGCCACACACTCCTGGATGGAAAGTTTACTTTATCAATTAAATCAAATATCAGGCGAAGAAGCAATGACAAGACTTGGAGGACCAATTGCTTTGTTGAAAGCTCAATCAACACAAACATTTGAATATTGTGCTCGTGAGGCTGCACAAATTTTTGGTGGTTTATCTTATTCTCGTGGAGGGTACGTAAAAATAATATTTTTAATTAATAAAAAATAATAAAATAATAATTTTTTTCAAAAAAAAAAAAAAAATAGTCAAGGTGAAAAGGTCGAACGACTTTATCGTGAAGTACGTGCATATGCCATTCCAGCTGGTTCAGAGGAAATTATGCTTGATCTTGGTGTTAGACAATCTTTAAAAGTCGCACAATTATATGGTGCCAAACTTTAGATATTTGATTAGCTGGTTGATTAATTAACTATTCAATTGATAAAGAATTATTTAATTTTTTTTTTTTGGATTAAAAAATAAAATAAAATAATTTAATTTTTTTTTTTTGAATTAAAAAATAAAATAATTTAATTTTATTAGATTACTGACATATATAATTTTATTTAATAAAATATTATTATTATACGAAATTTCAGTTTCCCGTAAAAAATTTTTATTTTCAATGCTTATTATTATTATTATTATTATTATTATTATTATTATTATTATTATTATTATTATTATTATTATTATTATTATTATTATGACTAATCTAACTCATAGAACGAAAGGGAAAAAATGGCGAATTGGTCAAAACATGATTTACAGTAATATGGCTTCTCACCAATAAATTTTTTTGTTAATTCTTAAAGCCAGGCGTCATTATAAAATAATGACTTTTGAGATATTATTATTGCTTCCTTTTCCATCAATTAGTGGTCCTGAAAATTCAATATATATTTTAATTTGTGCATCAAAAAAATGTCCATTTTTAGTGATCATAATCAACGAATAAAACCTTTTGTAATAAATAATCATGGACCATTTGAAGTTTTAATGTTAGCAGAAACGTTGTCTATTTCGATAGATGTTTAAATAAATTGTTTAAGATTCTTATTCGTATATTGAAATAGAATGCATTAATTACAAAACGTGCAAAAAAAAATTTAAATTACCAAATTGTACTTTAAATATAATCACCATAACATACATCATCACCGATATTAATTACGTGGGCTACCTGATACTAATTACTGGCAATAACATCGGAGTTAATAACAACATATTAGGAGCCAAAAATAATTTCAAACGTTCAATAATTCAGTACTCCATCTTGGATATTTTGTAAAATGATGGACGAACCATTGTCATGGTAAACGTTTGGCGGAGATCATAAACATAATGCCAAAATAGCTTCATCATTAACAGATTTTGATTCGGCTGACCGATTTAATACCAATGGAATTATAGAACCTACTACACCTCCTAAATTAAATATCATCCGAAATAAACCAATGTATTAGATTCTTTTGGATATGACAAAATTGTTGCGCCTTGGCCTATCCAAAGAGGTGTTGCGCCTATGGTAGCACGTAAATCATTCACGAAAAAATAAAATTAAAGGTGAAACGAATAATTCGAATAAACGGATAAGAATAATAATAATTCAAATTAAAATAAGGATTTATATCACGAATACAAACTCTAAATATGACTTTTATCCTGCTATAATGTATTGTATTTTGTTTTTTGAGCAAATGTATGTTTTTTTGTCGTTCTAAGTAATGCAGTGGACCTGTCTCAATTAAATGTCTATGCCACTGAATTCTGTGCTAAAATTCCAGACGTAAAATGAATATTAAGAGAATTTTTTTTTTTACTGATTAAGTCGTTTAAAAATTTCTTAGTCAGCTAACATAACTAGTTTTTAATAGGCTCTTTGGTCTTCATAGTTAAGGAGATCATCAACACCTAATATTTACAAATTGAAGCTGACTATCATCTGACATTTCAATGAATATAAATATTTTCCCTTTAACAAAATAATTTCTTGCTCACAAAAACGTTTCGACCAGATATCATTTAACCATGACATTATCAATGATGTATTTTCGAATTTAACATTAGTAATTATCAAATTAGTCATTCTATTTTATTTATTTTATTGGACAAAATAATGTAATTCCTTCAAGAAGTATATACAAAGCTCTTTACCATCACCAGTTAGTGACATGTTTGGTATTGTTGTATGTAAAATTGAAATTATGTGAAATTGAAATATTATGGAATGGGGTGAAATTCTGATTGGCTAATTTGAATTTCACATATGTAAATTTGAATTCCACATACATATGTAAACTCAATAAGTTTGCCACTCAATAAGTTGGTTTACTTGATAAGTCAGCCATATGAGCTCACCCCCACATGACTGACTTATTGAGTTTACATATGTATGTGAATTGCAAATTCACATAATTTCATTTTCATGTACAACAGTATCATAAGCTTTTGTATTACATACAGTGTGTAACAAAAAAAAACTGGAAATTTCAGATTAGCCAATCAGAATTTCATATCCAAACATCCCACACCAAAATTTTAATTATAAATTTTGATTTCACATAGTTTCACACACAACAGAATCAAAGACCATATAATATTTTAGCCTAATCCTAAAAAAAAGTCAATAGAAAATTAAAGAGTTGACATCTTCAACTTTGTCATGACTGCAGCCTACAACCATATATCAAACAATAACAATGACAATATCCATAGCAAGCAGCAACAGTAGTAACCATGGCAAGGCATGAATATCAATATTAATGACAGCATCAACCAATGATTATTGTAATAGTAGTAGTAATAATGGTAAAAAAGACAGTTAAATATTATTATAAACATAGCAGAATTGGTCACATACCTAATGATGCTATGCCTGATAATACTAAAATCACAAGAGTTAGTATACTATGAAAAAATGAATCTAAAGGAAAGATCCTACTATATACATATGTGGACGCACCACTCATTTTTAATGCCTCAATATTAGAGATGGATATAGGAGTCCAGGTATACCACTTGGTGAACATTCAAAGCATCAGCAAGTTCATGTATAAGCATGGTCATTATAGCCATGACTGTTCAAATGATAAGGTGTGGCTATCATATAAAAATGGCTTCAGACTATATTTTTATGCAGCAGTAATTATCATAAGGTATATATTGCTATTATTAATATTGCGAGCGTGCAATCCGAGTTTCCCAATTAATAGGTTATTTATAGCTCAACACACAGCCTACTCGCTGACTTACGGTCAAGTTTCCTTTAACTATATATATATGACACACAGCCTACTCGCTGACTTACAGTCAAAGATTAATAATAAAAATAACTTTTATCTTCCTGGATAAAAGGGTCCCTAGGTTCTATGTATTTATATCCCAAAGGCGTCCCCTTGAGATGTCTCTTGATAGTTAGGATACTGGTTAACTGCTATGGGTCGCAAAGGTCTCCCCTTTGTGGTTTATTAATTAGTTAAAGGTTATTATTTTCAGGGTAAAATATGTTATGTGTTTTATTAGCAATAATAATATTATTATTACAGTGTATTAGAAATATTAATTATTAGATCAATAATTAAAAGATTGTTATGAACATGGTGATTCTGACTTGGTCTAAAACCAAGTCCTTTTATACCTCTTGGGGTATTACAAATAACATGACTTTTACTCTAGTTTGTCCAATAAACTATGCTTATTAATATAAAATAAATATTTGGGTCAACTGATCATTACAAATAATAATTAATAATTTAAAGTAAATATTTACATCAGCTGAACAAATTCTTGAAATATAAATATGGAAATATGAATATGAGTAATTGTGCGTGTGATACTGCGCAATGTGTGGCACAGTATTTCACAAAATATAACGTTAAAAATAAAAATAGAAATGATTTAATTTTCACGTGACTTCCGTAGTAATTTGGTTTGGTTGGATCGGCAACGTGGGACCTCTCTATCGGTCCTCATTTTACTATCTCACAATATATAGTGTAGAAAATAAGTAGTTAATCTATGTTAGTATTATATATGTGGGCTTTTTAGGACAATTTTCGTGTTTTTTTAGTAAACGCCACGTTTTTTCTATAGATTTCAGACTTTTACTATGCTCCTGAGTAACTTATATAAATCTAATGAATGGTGTATTTTTTAAGACATATAACACTATAGTGAATTTTTTTATATCTAATTGATTACTATTTAGTTTTCTATTGCTGTGAGCACACCCTCCTAAGGGTGTACGAAACAGTTGCGGAGCAAAGCGGAGCATAGTTATCTTTTTAGTTAACATTTAGCTTTCTATTAATAAAACAGATAGTAAAAAATTTAGATAAAAAATTGGGACAAAATTGGTGTATTTTTTGATATCTATTTTTGATTACTATTTAGCTTTCTGACCCGGAGGAGCATAGCAACTCCAAATGCGAAGCATAGCAGAGCATTAGTTATCTATTTAGTCAACAATTGGTTTCTTAACACTAAGGAGTATACACCTAAGGTGTGAGCGA